ATCAATGACTTTCTCATCATTGATGTTTCTATCTCTCTCTCTCCCTCTCCTTTCCTCTCTCTGAAATCAATAAAGATATATATATATATATTTAAAATAAAATAAAATAAATAAATAAAATAAAAAATGAGGTGGAATTACATGTAATTAACCTGGAAATAAGTCCACAATATAATTAACTTAAGAAAGTGTTATAAAATGATATATGATATTACAACATCTCTTTCCTAAAAAGTACACACAAAATATAAATCTAGAATATTATAAACTTGATTGTTCTTATTTCGGGAAGATGAAATCCTTGTCTTTACCTTATATATTTCTGTATTGTCAGAATTTTTTTAAACAGTGTAACTTTTCTATTTAGAAAAAAAATGAAACAGTTCTCTCTTTAATTATTTGATTAATTAAGTCCTTAACATACATACAGACACACTTATGTAAAATAAACCTTTACAATACACCACTTTACTAGCTGCATAGTGTGGCTATGTCACAATTTGTTTAAGTAATTCTCTATTATTGGATATTTAGGTTGTTTCCAAATTTTTGCTACTATAAAGCAAAACTTAGATGGAAATCCTTGTGGCTAAATATTTGCACATATTTTTAATTATGGTCCTTAGACTAAATTCCTAGAAGTAGTATTTCAGGCTCAAGATGTGGGTACAATTAAAAACCTTTGGCCCATATTGCAAAATCATCCCATAAAAAGTCAGTACAAATTTACTCCCCTAACTGCAATGTGGGGGTTGCTTTTTCCCTTCACTCATGCCTATTTCCACTTTTACCAATTTGACAAGCAAAATGACACATCATTATTTTCATTTGTATTTCTTTAATTACTAGGGAAAATTACATCATTCACAGTCACTTATTGGCTATTTGTTATTGTATAATCTGTTTGTTGATATCTCTTGTCTACTTTTCTACTAGAATCTTTTTCTTTCTGGTTTGTAAGAGTTCTTTATGTAATATTAGTCCTTTGTTATTAAGGCTAATATATGCCATTTGCCTTTTAGTTTTGCTTAAGTTTTTATGTTTAAAATTTTTTAATTTGTATATATTTTCTCAACAATAAAATACAATCCAGATTCTAAATTACTGACTCGTAAATGGGCATTTGAAATATAACCAGTTGTACATATGTGATCTCGTATACTGGCTACTTTATCATATGTTCTCATATTTTTTCTGCATGTGAGCTCCTTAAAGGCACAGGTCATGACATTTCTCCAGTCCCCACAGCAACCAGCACATAGCCCAGAACACGGCAAAGCTCCAAACTATATGAGATTAAAACAAAGCAAAACACTGTATCTGGGATTTGCTTTGAAGCGATCCAGTTTGGGGTGGAAGATGAAACAGAATCAGCCACATGTCCATCATTGTTGAAGTTGGATGATGGATACATGGAATTCATTATACTATTATTTCTACTTTTTTGTATACTTGAACGTGTCCATAATCAACAGGATTTTTAAAAATGTCTGCATGACTGATTAGTCAACAGCATCAGAGAGGGGACTTCTAGAATAACAATGGCGATGAAAATAAATTACATTTACATCAAGGACCCTTCTGTAGCATAAAAAAGTTAAGACTGTGGGCCTTGAAACTAGGCATGCTGGGTGCAATCCTTTCTAGCTTAGTGACCTTGAGCCAATTATTCAACCCCTCTGAAGCTCGGGTTTCTGTTATAAATAAGGTTATTAATAACTACCTCAAGAGGTCCTAGAGAAGATGAATGGGTATAAAACTCAGTGCCCAGCACCAAGCAGCACTCAATAAAGAGTTGCCATCATTATTGCCCAGTGATGCACAGCTTGACAGGCTCCAGCCAGCGTTTCCTGGTGGTGGTGATCCAACACCCTTCCACCACAGCTGTGATTTCTACGGATCAGCTCAGGCACTGAGCAACCCAGTTAGAGAACTTAGTGGAACAGATGTCAGGAGTCACGTTCCTGGTACCCAGAAGAGAAAACAGATAAGGCCGCAGCAGAGAACGAAGACCACAGACCCCCGACCTTACTCAACAGGTCACCAAAGAGCATTAACTCCATGTTCCAATGATGCAATCAAGAACAAGGGTGACGGAGCCCTGACAGCAGGTTAAATTCACAAATTTAACCAATCACTGGTGTCATCTGGGGAGCTTGAAATAATACGACGTCTGGGTCCCAGAATTTGATTTAATGGCCTGGGGTGTGGATTAGGTAGGTGCGAAGGTTTTAAAAAATCGAATGTGATTTAATATGCACCAACCACTCTGCTGTGTGAGTTGGTGTGGAGAAGTAAGGAGGGAAGGGACAAGAGAAAACAAAGAGAACAGAGACCATTGCCTCCCTCGTGAACCCCATTCAAGCCACCCCAGTCATGTGGTCCCAAGCTGTCTGCCATGCCAGACCTAGTCCCATTCGGGTCCCTTCACTCCCTCCATAGCTTTCAAGAGTGTATTACTGTCATAATTCATAAGGTTAACATATGTTATTAACACCAAGATGTGTGCACAATAACATTATAAAGAATACTAAATGTTAAATTAGCCATAGCTGATCTCTGGGTTTGAGTCTTAAAAAAAAAAGTCCAGCTCAGTGATAGCGGAGGCTGGGGGAGGGAGAAAAGCATTTGTCCCCTCGCCTTTTGGCAGACTGTCAGTGCGACTGAAGCACACTCAAAGAGGCAGCCTCATTTTGTGAAGTTATTGCAGGGGCTTTGATCAAGGGGAAAAGCACATCCATTTCCATCACTGTAACGGGGCCCGGCCGGCTGTCTGGCTGCCTGGCTGCCCACCGGGGCGACTAGCCTTGAGCCTGCAGACACATGGCAGCGCTTACTGTGTCAGACAAATGAGGGGTTCCCGACTGCCTAGCCAACCTTTGCTGAACTTTGGGGGCCTCTCACTTAGCAATTCTGCCCTGACTAATCGGGAAGTTCCTCTCCCCGGCAAACACCACCTGGCCCGGCCTGGCCTCGCCCAAACAAAAGCTGGCCAGCAGCTGTCTGTCACGAGGCAGCAAACACTTCAGAACCAGGAGGGCAGGGGTCAACGGTTCTCATAAGCAACACACTCAGGATTACACAAGCCTAGAGAAAGGGGGGGAAAAGATTTTGCCTTCTCCCTACCACCTTTACCCCAGCTTGGCCCCAAACGCAGCTGAGAGAGGTCTGCTTTTCTCTCCCACATGTGAATTCTCAAATCCATATACAAAGATCACCTGCATCCTTTTAATTAGAATAAATACTACAACAGAACATTGATGAGGGAGCTCGTCGATTTTCACATTTGGGGAGGTTCAACAAAAGGTTTTATTTTCCTTAAGTGACATCATTCATAAAATCTGGGGAAGATGTGAGTAGCAGAACCGGAGTGGAGATGGAGATAATGATGATGACAATGACAGATATTTATATAGCAGTTTATGTGGTTCAAGTGTTTTACATGCGTTAACTCATTCAGTCCTCATCATAACCTTATGAGGTAAGCTATAGTAATACTCATTAATGATAGTAATAATAACAGTAACATAATACGTATAATTATTATTATTACGTATAATAAGGATACTATGATGCAGAGAAGTCCAGTGACTGGCCTGAGGGGTGGGGGCTGGGAGTCATGCTCAGGCAGTCTGGCTCCAGGATCGGTGCGCTAACCACAGCACTAGACAGCCTCCTGCCAGTCCACACCTCAGAGTCTCCTTTAAAACTGCCGGTTCAGAGAACAGCGGAGTCTGGAGGCCTTAGAAGCCAGAGGGAGCTGAGTTTGCATCCCAGTTCTGCCGATCTGCATGCGGCTGTGGTTGCATCTTTTGTAACTGGGAATGATAGCACCTACCTCAAGGCCCGCGCGAGGCTTAAGTGAGGAAGCGAGTAAGAGCACCTCTCTCAGGGCTGCAGCCAAGGTCAGTTTAACGCAGTGGCCCTCAGTCCTGGATGAACAGTGAATCAGCTGGGAACTTTTAAGACTATGAGGCCCAATCGATTCCCCACCGCCCCTCCACATTTCCTCTCAAGCAGGAGGTCAGTCTGAAGTCAGCCATACCCTGGGCCCAGCCTGAAAGGAAACCTGAAACCCCAGGGGACCCAAGGCCAGTCCCCACCCTTGGATCCACAGATTCAGAATTTCAGGGAAGCTTTGCAACCTCTGGCGGCTTTGCTTCCATCCCGCCCCGCTCTCTTCCACAGAGGGAGTGGAGACACCAGGACCGTCCCCAAGCATGGGCTGGCTCCGCCTTGTCCAGGGACCTTCCCCATGTTTATCCGACAGGGCCTTCACCAGCCGCCTCCCGGCCCAGGTCGAGTCCCACCTGCAGCCTAAAAGCTTAGGAGTAACCTGTCGTCCTTATTGTCCCATGCCGCCTGCGTTTCAGAAATAGTCTGTGCCAACATCGGCATAGCCAGCGTTACTTTCACACAAAGCGCTGACCAGAGCAGGATGAGAGGTGGCTGCCTGAAAAGAGATTTTAAAATCTGCGTGTGCGCAGACCCTCTAGTGTGCGTGCACACGCGTGCACACACGCAGACACCATACACCGCACGCTCACTCACACGCCCGCACCTCCTCCAAGAAGCACAGCACACTTTGTACTCAAAGGGATCCCTGCTTAATTTGAGGACCTGGGGGGGCACGCAGGGGGAGCAGTAAGCAGTGAAGGGAACACCAGGGTTGCCTGTGGAAACTGGCAAGGAGAAGAAAAAATAATCAGCCTCCATTTGTCAGAAGAGAAAAATGGGGAGGGCCAGCGGGGAGGACGGGGACCGAGCAGCGCCAGTTTCCTGGCGCGGCCTTCGTAGGCCTGCTCAGGCCGCGCTGCCAGCTGGAAAGGGGGAGCGTGCAGGGCCCAGGAGGGGAGCGTAGGCACCAGAAGGTAGCTCAGAGGGTGTGGAAGAGCCCTCAGCTGTTTCTCAGAAAGCAGGGCTCAGAGCAGCCCTGCACGCTCGGCACCCCCTCGGCCCCTGTCCAGGCACCAGGCGGGGAGACTTGGCCGAGGCCTCACCTGGGTAAAGGAGCCATCCTCGCCGCACTCCGGGACAAACACCGCCTCCTGGGGCTTCTTGGCTTGCTCGAGGGCCTGAGCCCGCTCCAGGCGACACTTGCTCTGGCCAGCGTCTAGAAGAGGAGAGGAGCGAGCGTATTTCATGCTTCGCTGGGGTTCCACAAGGGCGCCATGGAACCAAGCGGCTGCCCGGCTCTGGGAGCATTGAGGAGCCCGCCACCTCCAGGGAGCCCACACACCACCCCGGCTCATCCAACAGCACAGGCAGGGCCAGTGAGTGCCCTGGCTGATCCTCCCCATCCATGCTATTCTTTAAAAACTGGGGGTTGCATTTATATCACGCTCTACTTATTTTTCTCCCAAGTATCCCCCACCCATCCCAGGAAAAAAATGTTCCAAGTCCACTGTTTTTCACTGGGTTTATTAAAAAACCTGCAAGCCCCGGGGGCCTCGAAGATGTTTTCTAGTTTGAGAATGGCAAGTACTTTCTTTGGCTCTAGAGAGGCTCTAGGGTAGTCTGCTCAGCCTCCCACAATTCCTATGATGGTTCTAAGCAGCCCAGAGTCACAAATATAAATATCTACAGGGTGTAGGAAAGTGACATAAATTAGAGAAGCATTCAGCTTGGAGACACCATAGGGAGTGCTGAGGACCGTGACAAACTGGAGAGCAGGTTCCCCTTTAAAGGAGGTAGCTGCTCCTCAGCTCTAGCCACGTGTTGCCTCGTGGGAGGGAACACAGATCTAATATTCGCAGAGCTTTCAATTTTTTGTGAGAAGTACAAAAAAAACCACAGGTTTTTATGTTGAATCTCCTAATTTTTCAATGTTGTCTCAAATGTTTTCAATATTTTTGGTGAGGCAGACCAAAAAAAAAACAAAAAAAAACCCACATCTCTTGACCAACAATTTTGAACTCCTGTTCATAAGCCAGCAATAAAGTCTTGCCATTTTAAACACCTCTATTTATAAAATAAAAATAAAAGCAAATAGCACTAGCCACACGGCAGCACATCTCTCTCAGCCTGGTGACAGAGTTTGAAAGACAGAAAAGTGCTCATTCCGTCACGTAGACCAGTTCTCCTCATGTTCCCTGGTAGA